AAGTAGTGTTGGGTCAAGGGGCGAAAGACCGTAGTTGACAACATGTACAAGCTTGAGGAAGCCGGCACGCCGCGTGTACAACGCGTAACGCTCGTCCCACTGGTGTGCCCTGGTGTGCGTGCGGGGCCTCAAAGGAGGCAAGGGCACCTCTGCGTCGGTGTCAATCAAGAAGTGTGCTCGGTGTGGGTCATCGTACTCCACCTCAAGAAGGGGGTACAACTGGTGCTGCGTGGGAGGGGCCATCCTATTACAAATTGATAAACAAAGGGTTAGAGTATTTAAATTAACAATATTCAAATGAACACACCTCTGCATTGCAAAATTTGAACTACTTGTTATGCAATAGGAACACAATATAAAAGCACATGTATATATTCAAAGTAACATTAACAGACATATTAAACAACTTCACTAGGAAAATAAGCAACTTCTATGTATGAACCTGCTGCCCTCGTCTTCTATGCCTGGTAGCCTTGTGACCAGGTTCTTTGCAAACGGAGCAAAGATTCCTACCACAGGTCTCGTTGAAGTCTCCCCCTCCGTACATGTCTTCGCCATACCCTCTCATAGCGTCCATGTCCCCCTTGAGTCGCTTCTTCTTCCTCCTACCCTTCCCTACCTTCATTAGATCTGGATGCGACACATAGCCATAACCATTATAAGGTGGCCACTGTGTCGAGTCAAGGTATGGCTCAAAGCTCATCTCTCAAATACTAACGGTGTTCGAACGGAGATACAAGGGTGACATATATGGTAGATCCTCATAGTTGTACCCACGAACCCTGTAGGCCATGATCATATGAGAGCAAGGGGCATGCATGATCTGAGGGACGTTGCAACTGCACTCTACCTTTTCAAGATCAACTCGATAGTTTCATCCACCATAACGTTCGCCGCCCAAGCTTGTGCCACCCTTGCCCCGTACACTAAAGATATGGCGGTAGGGTTCATATGGCTCGACGGTGTGCTGCTTGGCCAATTCCTCGGCCTCCTTCAAATGTTCTGCTCTGGCCTTTCCAAAATGCCCCTGTTCAGCTATATTCATCTACGCAAGTTCCCACCTCTTGATAAAATATTCGTTGCACTTATGAAAGGAGAACTTAACAATTCTAGACACAGGCAACGATCGAACTCCGGTGAATACACGGTTGAAGGACTCCGAGGAGTTAGTGGTCATGATGCCATATCTAAAACCCCCCTTATCATATGCTAACGTCCACTGAGCCTTCTGTTCCATCTATGCCTCTAACCAGGCCTTTCCCACTTCATTTAGCATCTTGTCTAGTTCTCTTTTTGTCTCCTTGAACTGGTGCTCTGTACGTACACAGCATAGAGCCTTTACCTTGTCACATACCTCCTACTTCCTCTGACGCTGCCAGAAATTAGCGGCAAAGTGTGTCATGCACCATCTATGCACTAGAGGCGGGAACCCATCTATATGCTCAACTGTAGGATTAAGCACTGGGTGACGGTCCAAGATCAAACATATAGTGCGAGATGGGCCAATCACTTGTACACGTAGAAGCCGCATGAACCATGACCACGATTCATTGTTCTCTCCCTCTGCCAAAGCAAAAGCCATGGGTACTATCTGGTCCTCAGGATCAACAGTAGCAGCCATCATCAAGGTGCCCCTGTACTTTCCTGTCAGGAAAGTGCCATCAACAAGTACGACTGGCCGACAAAACTGGAATGCATGTTCTATTTGTGCGAACGACCAGAACACACGATAGAGGACATGCCTCAACGGGTCCCAAAAATATATCCCTCCGGTGTCCATAAACCATTTCAAGCCAGGGTTGTAGTAATGCATTGCATATAAGATGTGGGGCACCCTGTTGTACGCTTCCTCCCAACTACCCCATCGAATCACCAGGGCAATTTGCTTAGCACGCCAAGCCTTTCCGCACTTCACATCATACTTAACGAATCCAGATATGGACTGTTGTAAAGAAGACACCAAAATGTCGTTATTGTCATCAACAAGCCCCAATATACGACAGGCAAGGTAACGTGCAGTGAGCTGCTGATGATTTTCCTTCCCCCTATTTGTTAGGCAAGTGTGGGGTTCGACAACTTTACTTATCCTCCACTTGCCATCACTTTGTCACTTTCGTGCATTTAACCTCCACATACAACCATTTTTGCATATCACGTGGTACCTCAACTCCTGGTCCGAATGAGTGACGCTGTATGGCCTATGGTGATACACAACATAGTCCTGAAGGAAGAGCTTCATCTCTGATATTGTATTGAATATCATCCCCTTCATAAGGGTTTCTTTCTTATGGTCATACAATGATTTCCTATATATCTGGAGACCGGTGTCATAAACTGCCATATCCGTCATGCTGACATCCCTATAGTTCGGAACGCCCCTGAAAGGTATGTTCATCGACCTTAGTTGCTCAAGCTCAGTCGCTGTGTAAGGTGGTGGTGGAACATACTACTGCGCTTCGCTAATTCTGCCCCATGAATCACAGGGGGTATCATCTGCTGACAAATCTATGACTAGTCTACTCTGAGCCTGAATAGCATGCAAAACCTCAGTTGATACTAGTAATGGCATACCATGAACAGGTACTAGTATGGCATCAACCGGTGTGGGCATAGCATGTTTATCTCCCTAGTCATTATCTGAATCGTCCGAATCACTGCTAACTACATCACCGATCCTGTCCTCCTCCTGCTCCTCCTCTTCCAGTTCGAACTCGTTCACATCGAAATCATTGCTTATACATCCTGCTTGACTTGAATGAAATTGCTCCCGCATCAACTGATCGTCCAAATCCATATTACCCTAGGCTGCTTCCCCTTCGACTCCCAATTCTTGCTCATTGCCTCCAACACTGTCAATGGGCGGCCCGTCCAGGACACCCTGCATCCTGTACCCATTCTCCACCATCATCTCAGCCATAGGCATATTGGAACCTTAGAGCACCCTAATGTAACGGGACCAGTGAGCAGGGTCGCGCAAGGATATGAGGACATAGTGTGCCCTAGTCTTCCCAGTATCAAACCTCCCCTTCAGTGTAAAATCACCGTCAAACTTTGCATTCAAACGGACACAATGGTCATTGAAGCTAGGAGGTTCATCAAACCATTCCAATTCTTCTTCCATATCCTCAAACATACCATCTTCTCTTCTAACACTTCATCCGTAAAAAACTCTAATACAACAATCCATCTACAAAAGCATTTTAAGAAACTTCATCAAGTCGTCGAAATCGTCGTATGTAATGTCCATAGTAATATTAATACCTATTCTAACTATAACTATACTAACTAATCTAATATTAACATCTATATAAGGCTAACTACAACAACTAATTATACTAAATACAATGTATAACTAGACTCACGAACTATACTAACTAAACTAACTAACTTTACTATCTATACTAACTTACTATATTGCCTATACTAACTAAACTAACTAACTTTACTAACTATACTTTACTAATTATATTAACTTTATTTATTTTACTAACTTACTATACTAATAATGTCGATTCAATCAACAAATACACTAGGGGAGTACCTCGTGGCGGCGGCGGTGCTCGTCCTCGCGACAGCAGTGTGAGCTCGTCCTCGTGGCGGCGGGCGGCTAGACCGAAGCCGGGAGGCGCGGCTAACTCTCGGTGGCGGTGGTGGGATGGATAGATAGAAAGGGCATCGGCGATTGGGAGCGGTGTAACGTTGGTGGCGAGGAGCGGCGGCGATAATCATGGTGTCTTTGCGAGTGAGGGCGGCAGCAGCAGTGAGGGCGATGGCGAGGGCACAATGAAGCGTGGGGCGCGAGGGCAGCCGCGCCGGCGTGGGCGAGCGCGTGTGGCGGCGCGGAGGTGGCGCCGGTGTGCAGGCGCGGCGGCGACGCAATGGCGGTGGCGTAAGCGCCGGCGTTGCGTAATGGCGGTTGCCGGCAGCATGTGGCGGGAGGCGGCGTGGCGAGGGCGGCGTTGGCGGGCGCGAAGCGCTTGCGGCGGCAAGGCGGGCGGGCCGGGCGCGCGGCGCGCGAAAGCGGCGGTGGCGGCAGCGGCTTGCGGCGCGGCGGCGGCGCGCTGCGTCGCGATGGCGGCGGGCGTGGCGTGGCGCGACGGGACTAGGCTGCGGGCCTTTAGCCGGCTCTGCTGCGCCCTGGGCGATGGCGTGCCACCGCCGGCGCCTTAGATCGATGGCGCTGGCGAACCACGCCACGTCACGTCGGTCGGTCGCCGATCGTCGCCATCGCGTCATTCTCTCGCCAGCGCCACCATGCATGCGCGTACGAGCGTGCGTTCGCCACGCCGAAAAAATAGGCGCGAGCAAAAGTGTTAGTTTTGAAAAAAAATAAAATAATGTTAGATTTAAAATTAGTTTACGAAAAGTGTTAAAAATATCCGCAGCAATGCGTGGGGACTTTACCTAGTTGCTATATATATTTGTTGACAAATTTATATGTCTCGTATCTGTTAGATTTCTCAATCATGTGTTGATTTTATATCTAATGGTTGAGAAATCTAAGAGACGTATAAATCTGTGGATAGATTTATAGCAACTCCCCTGTTTTATTTATTGAATACTGAAACGTTTACGGAAGAAGGCGTGGCGAGAGCGTAGCTGCATCCAGACTCTCACGGGAACAAAACATCCATGTGCCATCCGCGCGAAAATATATCTGGCCAACATTCAACAATGTTCAAATGTCTTTTTTTTGAAAAAAAATCTTCAAAACGTTCCTGTTCAGAAAAAAAAATCCTGATGGTTTTGTGTTAATTTTAGGATTTGGGCTAAAGCAAACAGCAGAAAATGATGCATTGCAAATCCAGCTCTCGATGCATTGCTGGCCTCACCTCAGCGCAACCTGTGGCTGGTTGAACCGGACCAGCTGGCTCCTCTCCTCTCGTGCTCATCCGTCTCTCACATCACAGCCACACAATCTCGCTTCGCTTCTTTTCCCCAGAAGAAGACGAAACCCTCGATCCCCGCCGGCCGCCGGAGTCCGATTCCTTCCCATCAGCATGGCGGCGGTTCCCGCTCTGTTGGACGAGCTCATCGAGGAGTTCCTCCTCCGCCTCCCGCCGGCCGAGCCCGAGATCCTCGTCCACGCCGCCCTCGTCTGCAAGCCCTGGTACCGCATCATCTCCGATCCCCGCTTCCGCCGCCGATTCCGGGAATTCCACCGTGCGGCACCGATGCTCGGATTCTTCTGCAACCTCATGGATGCCCAATTCATCCCCACCTCCTCTTTCCGCCCGCCCCACGCCGGCAATTTCCGCGCTTTGGACGCCCGCCACGGCCGCGTCCTCCTCGACCCGTGGGACGACATGGACGAACGCTTCGTCGTCGTCTGGGACCCAACCACGGATGAAAGGTGGGAGGTGCCAGTACCACCCCCGGACGTCTGGGACCTACTAGAAGAATCGTACGCGACTGTGCTCTGCGCAGCCGCAGCAAGCCCCACCTGCAACCACCACGACTGCCACAGCAAACCCTTCACCCTTGTCTTCGCGGGCCCTGGCACTGAGCCCGAGCACGAGCATACGTCCTTCTTGCACGTCTACTCATCAGAGGGCGCCTCCTGGAGCGAGCCGATTCCGGTCCCAAGGTGCTGTGTCGATGAGGTGCTCACTGCACTTGTTGGAAGCACACTCTACTTCTCGATTGACTGCGGCAGTCGAACTCTCAGTTATAATCTGGCTACACGGCAAACTTCTGTGATTCACCTGCCTCCTATGCCTGATGAGTGTGCTACTGCGCTCATGGGGATGGAGAATGGTGGGCTTGGAGTCGCAAAATTGGACAAGGCTGCCAAACTCTCGGTCTGGTCAATGGAGGTGAATCCCAACGGAGACATAGGGTGGACACAAATCAAAGTCGTTGAGCTTGACAAGTTGCTTCCTGTCAACGCTTGCTCCATATCTTCTGAATTTCTCTGCTATGCGCAAGGTGTTGGAGTATTTTTCGTTGGGACCTATGATGGGTTATTTAGTTTTGATTTAATGTCTGGCAAGGTGAGGAAGGTGTTTGAGGAGCCATGTGATCAAATTGGCGTCCTCGGTGCTTTTCCTTGTGTTGTTCCCTATGTGAGTTTCTACACTCCAGGTACTTCTTCGTGTTTGGTTTATATCGTTTGCCATTTTTTGAACTTTGATTTTTCAGTTGTTCACATGAAACTATATATGGACAAATAACATAATATTTATTCATCTGTTCTGCCTACCTACACCTCCTATTTTGGTCAGGTAGATGTATAACTCTGGTACGTACGCCTACCTACACATTCTGTTTTGGTTGCGGATCATCCTTGACACATGTCTTTAATTTATCCATATGGTACATATCTTATGATAGACATATCGGGGGTGTATTGACAAGTTTAGGTACAAAATACACAGTAAAGTGAAGTCATTACTCTAACCTCCAGATGCCTGACTTGTGTCTGTGTTTAATGCTGCACATTTCTTTTGCTCAGATCAGTGGGCAGACCCATTGCCCGAGGCTCCCACATGAGTGGGGTCTGAGAAAGGGATAAATCGAGACAAACCTTTCCTCCGCAATATCTACGGAGAGGCTGTTTCGAACCCAACTAATGCTTTGCTCAGATCAGTCATCAGATAAATATCCCTTTAATAATATAAAACACACAGTGATGATATGTTTGTTAAACAAAGGTAGGTTTTCATCAGGAGGTTTGAGTTGATCTTATCTTAATGATTTGTGCAAGTATTTGCTGTTAACTAGTTGAGCAGTGTTGCGCAGTGGTTAGTAAGCTTGGGGTGCATGGTTAGCAGCTTGTTGGAACATATGCTTGGTTGATGAGAAAATTTTTCACTGATGGCCTATCAATTCCTCAATCAGCATTTTTCATTTTTCCCCATGTTTCTTTGGTGCAGCTGATGCTACAACTGTATGAAATAAAAAATTCTAGCTGCTGGAGTAAGGACTTCAAATACAAGAAGGAAGCGTGCTACTGGTGTGGGATAGCAGTAGTACTGGTGTTAAGTTTTAGTGACTAGTACTGGTTGCCTGCTGCCTATTGTGGGATAACACTGTGTTCAGTTTTAGTGCGTAGTACTGGTTGCCTGCTGCCTATTTGCCATTTGTGTGACTGTACCTGGAACTTGTTTTTTATATTGACACAGTGCTACAAAATTGATTCTTAGAGACCATATAAGAGTGTTATGTCTGAAAATCACTAGAAAACCCAACAACTAATAATTGTCTCTACAAATCAATTTTCAAAGATGATGAGCTTAAGAAACTCATCTCTATAAATCAAGTCATTTTTAGAGTAGAGCTAGGAATTTGCCGTGCCATTCGAGGGCGGGTCGTAACACAACTCAAAGCACGGCACGGTGCGAATGCAAGGGATGTGTCGTGCCTAGGATCTGCATGATGGGTTGTACAGCCCGGTCTGCATTTTGGGCCATGCTTGTGTCAGCATGCTAATAATTACTATACTATCTCCCATCTGATTCTTGAATAGATTATAAAAATCATCAAAATGATTAAAATCAAATTTTCATGAAAATTTGACCCAATGGTTGTTTACATTAGCCACCTTGTGTGAAACCACAACAGAGAGGAAGCACTTTACCCCTATTTATGGCCATGCTTGTGTCAGCACGACACAAAAATAGCACATAAACAAACATACAATGCTACAATGCAATTTTCTAATATTTACTATACTACCTCCCATCTAATTCTTGAATAGATTATAAAAATCATTAAATTTTCATGAAAATTGTGGTGACCAAGGAGTTGTTTCAGGAAGACTACGGAAGACTAAGGAGACTTGGTGCAGTGCAGGAGACTAGTGGTGCGGAAGACTAGTTGAGAAGTGGTGCGGAGAAGTTCACGACGGTGATCCCGTGGGCCAACAGTTTCAACTTAAAGTTTTCAAAAACGCCCTTGGAAGGTTGGAACCCTAACCTATATCTCCCTTGGACTCAAACCTGAACTACTACTACACACCGCAAGCATATGGATCGCGAGTCTCTGTTAACCCTAGCACAGGACCTTTATCTTTTGGACCTCTTCGTGCAATGGACAACCTCGCCAACCCTAGTGGAAGCCTTCCTATCTCAACTCTCGATGGACAAGGACCCCAAATCTAGCTAATAGACTTCACAACACCCCCTGGTCAACCCGATCATTTGACCTGTAGTTAAATCTTGACGTTATCACCCGGGAAGTGATCTTTGAGCCTCAAGTGATTGCTACAACCTTTATGAGTTGTATTAGAATCCTAATTTCAATCCCTTTATCTTAAAATCCAAAATTCTCAAAATTCATGTCCTACTGGACTGTCCAGCGTTCTGATGGACTTTTCACCAGAACACTTATGCAATAGAGTTAATCTAGCTAAGTTGTCCTCTCTCCCTACCTCTTGGACCCACCTGTCAACACGAGGTGGAGACTTCAAGGCACTTGCATCAGATCACTCTCCATTCATCTCATCACTCTCATCGCCCTCACTCTCTCTTCAAGGTGGAGGAAACAAGGGCTAGAGAGAGAGAGAGAAAGGAAAGACAAAATAAGAAGAGATCCAAGTCAAGGCCAAGAATCATCGGCTTAAGGAGAAGATGAAGATCATCATCTCTATCTCCATCCTTTGAGTGAGCTTAAGAAACATCCCCTTTTCTTCTCAAATGCAAATCCCAACCCAAAGTCTTGATTTTATCTTGCATGAGACGAAGATGAAGATGCTAGCAACTCAATCCATCTCAAGTGTAAGCCCTACTCCTATCACACTAAATCATCTCATGGATTTCTCAAATCTCTCAAAATGGAAGTGTATGTTCTATGCAATTAAATCTCAACAATTCCTTAATCCATCTCTCTCACTTGGAAGAAAGAAGGAGCAAAGCACAAGCATGGTCTTGGTGACCCAAGGGTCACCAATCCACCAAAGTTAAGTTACCAAAGTTCAATTACATGAATTACCTCTTTATTGAAGTTTTGTTCAAATCTTAACCACTAGTTTCACCCTCCATATGCAAGGCCAAACCATAGACTACGTACACCACCCTAACCCCTCATCCAAACACTCCTAGATGATCATCAAACACCCCTAGGAAACATCACTCACAAATCTTAGACCAAACCTTTAGAACAAGCAACCTACATAGGTTTTGTCGACGTCCTCACGGAATCTCGGAGGAACACCGGATTGTTGTCTGCAAGATCACTTAGAGCCATTAACACAACCTTAAGTGCACGCACACACGGTTCCCTTACACTATCTAATGTTTTCTCGGAACTATCCGAAGGAACCCGAACTGTCCATAGGAACATCATAACCCCAACTCAGAAAGCCCCCCTTCGGGAATGCACCCACGAACTGTCCGAAAGCACACCGGACTGTCCGATAAATATTCAGGAATATTTATTTTTCTACAAACCTTTGAACTCTAAGCCCAACCAACCTAACCCATGCCTATTTACCTCTTAATACAACCCTAATCCACTCTTGATCTATCCAATGAGCTCTCCATTTTGGCTTACCAAGTTTTATTCCTCTTTATCGCTCGATTTCATCAATCTTTATGGGCAACCTCAATTCCATTCCCTCCAACCCTCTTGGAGGCTAGGTATGATGTGAGGTACGCGAATGAGTTGTCATGATCCTCCTGAACTTCATGACAAGCGGGCACCACTACTAATGACCCCCTATTTTGGATACGTATAATACATGTTCATTATGTGTTTTCATTTTTCATTCTAATACTATTTGATCAACTAATGTGAGTCCACTAGAGCTAGCTCAACTCACCTAAGTAATGTTAGCCTCTTCATCTAAATAGGTTCGGGACGATTAATCTGCTTAGTCGGGTAGCACCGGTACAAGTCGAGTGTGAGTGGGAACACTTGTGCATGTAGATAAACAGATGCTTAGTCCACAAGTACACTTGATTGGGCAAGGCATAGATCCATGGTGGAGAGGTGGCTTGGGATGTGAAGATAGTGCTCAACTAGTAAAATTTAAGGAGCTCATTGCATATGAGTCATGATATGGTGTCATGTGGCTAGGTGAAGAAGATCAAGAGGTGAGCCTTGGATATGAAGGACCGAGTTGCAAGTGTGAAGGGCAAAACTAGAGGCTTGAGAGCAATGGACCGTCGAGGCAGTGAAATGCAAGTAGAGGGATTGGCACCGATGGACCGAGGCAATGGTAAAGAGCAAGCAAGGCTACGATCGATGAACCAATAAGGCCATGTGAAGCTATGAAGTGGTCATATCATTCATGAAAGATCAAGTCAAGTGTTGATGATCAAGTGGCTTGATGGAAGAAGATGGACGAGCTTCATGCTATGGGTAATTATCAAAAGGTAGCATAGTTGGCTACACTATGATGAAGATGGATGTTGGATGCTTGTGTAGTTGTGTGGCATCACTAACAATGGAGATGGAATGGAATGCTCAAGGCAAAGGTATATTTGTAGGGCATTTTGACAATGGTTGAGTAGTGCTAGTGTAGTATTAATGTAGCTTGTGCTTAGGGCTTGCTTGCTTACTAGTATGCGTAGGAGCTCCCGGTTGCTTTCTTAACTAGTTGCATAGTTTTATGTGACCTTGCCAACTAGAACTGTGTAGGAGAGCTCCCACTATCTTGGCACCTTAGAAATACATTGTGTAGGATGTTTTGTAAGGTGCTAGTGTTAATAGATAGAGGGGTGTAGTCGAGGCTAGATGATTAGTTTAATTATGTTGCTTTGATCAGCTAGCTGTAGCAATTAGAATTTAGAAATGACTATTCAACACCCCTTCCCCGTCTAATCAGCCATCTCTACCCTACATATGGTGATTAGAGTCTGCTGATGAGTTGAGGGCCATATGATTTTTGTGATAATTTCTAGAATTTATCTTGTTTGTACCGTGTCTTGTGAGGATTAATGTGGAGGAACCACTAATTAGTAATAGTAAAATTTTGTGCACTTCTGTATTTTTCAAAAATACTTGTTGGAACAAAAAATAGTAATGAAATAGTTGCTTCTTCACAAATAAGAAACAAGTTATTAAATAGTTTCTTCTTCACAAATAGTTCCTTGTTTCAAAATATAAACCACCATTTGAGTTGACACTGTTATTGAACTATATTTTGACCACTTGTTTCTCTCCTATATTATTGTAGTGCTTTGCTTATAGCAATGAAATTACAGCCATGACAAAGTGTTCTCAGACACCCATGGCTAGTTCTTAGTTAAAGATTATAGTTTTAAAATAGTGCCTTATATAGAGGGAAATGGGCAATGATAGTTTGGTCAATCCTTTTTTTACCCAACATCTAATTAAGAGAGCAATTAGTCTTTATTTGATATATAATATTTAGTATCTATCCAAGTGTGAATTCCACCCAAACACCCTTGGCCTATGCACAACATTTGTCTTTGAGGCAACCAGCTTGCCTTACTTGACTAAAAAACAGCTTACCTTACCACTCTACTACTACTTGTACTAGTGTTGCACATATTACATCTTGCCCTTTTTGATTGAGAATTGTACCA